CCCACCCAAAATCGGACAGGGTGTCGCGGTCGCAGACGATCTCCTTGGGGTAACCCTTGGTTCGAATCCAACCGGCGTAAAGAACCTCGGCCAACTCCGGTGCCTTGGCATGATAGCGACAAGGCAAAAACATGGCAAACTTGGTGAGTCGGTCGACCACCGTGAGAATCCCATCCACTCCGGTCTTGTGCTTAAGGAACTGGCCGGTAATGTCCATGGCAATCGCTTCCCTTCGCCTCAATGGGACTGGTAATGGTCGTAACTCGCCGTACGGACGATGGTTGCGGGATTTGCAGCGTCAGCAAACCTCGCATGACTTGCAATAGCGCGTGACGTCGCCGAGAAGGCCGGGCCACCAAAATCGTTGGCAAAGTCGGCCAATCGTGCGATTGACTCCAAAGTGTCCGGTGCCGGGGGCATCGTGGAACTCGCCAAGAAGCCGTGTACGCAAGTGAGGATCGCTCGGTATGCAAAGAAGGTCCTTCCCCCGCGTGTGAACAAGCAAGTACCCCTCTTGGATCCGGTAGTGAGAAGGTGCCGAATTAGGAGAGGAGCAATTTGCGTACTTGTCGCGAAACTCGGGATCGGCTTGGTAGCCGCGGATAAAGCTGTTCCGCAGGTCATCGTCGATCTCGAACGTTGAGTAGACCGCGGTACAATGATCCGGACGCCGTGAAAGAGCATCCGCAAAATGGTTCGACTTCCCAGGAATGTGATCGGGAAAGAAGTCGAAGTGGTCGATGAAAGACATCCATCGAGCGATGGTGCTGTTGACGGTGTCTTGGGTCTTATAGAAGACCAATGGATTGTTGTCCGTTACCCATCGAAATTGGCTTCGACCAAGGAGGAAGTGCCGCCACCGCTTGAGCGCATGGACGAAGGCGAGGAACTCCTTGCGTGCATCGTCAATGGAATGCACGACGAACACTTTCTTGCTGAAATACTCGATCGGGTGCCAGTCCACACCATCATGTTGCTCGAGGACTGCACCAATGCCATAGCCTGACGCATCCATGGTGACGCGCGTAGGCAAAAGCGGGTCGTATATCCGCAAGACCTCCGCAGACAATAGCGCGGCTTTGAGAGCCAAAAATGATTCCCGCACCTCCTCTCCGAAGTCTAACGGTCGGTTCTCGCATTGAAGCTTGGTCAAGTGGGCCGCGATCGTCGAGTAGCCTTTGATGGAACGCTGGTAGTAGCTGGCAAGGCCAAGGAATGAACGAATATCTGTGACGTTCCGAGGCTCCGGCCACTCTTGGATGGCTTGAATCTTGTCCGATAGCGGACTGATGCCCTCCGGTGTGACAAAATGGCCCAAGTATTCCAGCTCTTGCCGGACAAATTGGCACTTGTCGCGGTTGGCCTTGTACTTGGCGCGGCGGAGCGTCTCCAACACTCGTCGAAGATGTCCAAGATAATCCTCCAATGGATGGCTATAGACGAGAATATCGTGTAAGTAGACCAGCACGAACCTGTCCAACATTGCACGGAACTCATTGGTCATTGCCGCTTGAAAGGTCGTCGGGGCGTTGGTGAGGCCAAAAGGCATGACCACCCACTCAAAATGCCCGTACCGCGTCTTGAACGCGGACTTGTAGCGATCGCTCGGCCAAATTGAGATTTGATGATATCCCGATTTCAAATCCAACTTAGAAAAATATTTTGCGTTGCCCAGTCGCTCAAGGAGATCATCGATGCGAGGAAGAGGCCTCGCATTCTTGACGGTTTGCACGTTAAGCTTGCGGTAGTTGATACACAATCGTAGATCCTTGTTCTTCTTCTGGACGAAGAGAACCGGTGCTCCATAAGGGGAGCTACTAGGGCGGATCCAGCCCTTGGCCAACAAATCGTCGAGTTGTGCGCGGAGGACCTCAAGCTCCTCCTCGCTCATGCGATAGATGCAACCTTTCGGCGGCACGGCACCGGCCCTAAGACACTCGCGGTTAACGACCACCTGAAATTTCAGAATGAAAGATTCTGAAGTGGTCTGAAACCGTTGAAATGACCTGAAGACACTTCAAGTCATTTCAGAAGTTTCGGGTGGTTTGAAGGACAAGTTTTATGTTTTTTTTTTTCTTTTTTTTTCCTGCCTGTTTTTTCAGCCACTTCAGGTCATTTTAGGAATATCAGGTGGGGACCTGAAACCGCTGAAGTGGCTGAAGCTTCTGAATGGGGTTTCAGGTACCCCCATCCAAATGGTTGGATGGGGGTACCTGAAACCCCTTTTAGAAGCTTCAACCACTTTAGGTCATTTCAGGAATTTCAGGTGGGGACCTGAAACCGCTGAAGTGGCTGAAGCTTCTGAAAGGGGTTTCAGGTACCCCCATTCAAATGGTTGGATGGGGGTACCTGAAACCCCTTTCAGAATCTTCAGCCACTTCAGGTCATTTCAGGAATTTCAGGTGGGGACCTGAAACCGCTGAAGTGGCTGAAGCTTCTGAATGGGGTTTCAAGTACCCCCATCCAAATGGTTGGAAGGGGGCACCTGAAACCCCTTTCAGA